AAGCTCGAGGCTTTCCAGCTCTCATTTTTCGGGACTACTGATTGTGGTCTTCAACTCTAATAAAGTATAATATTTTTTTTATTTTAAAGAGTCGTGACATTGAAATCGTATGACAAAGGTCTGATCGAACAAAGGAAAATATGAAACAGGGTACAAATTTGTGCTGGGAAGATGCATTCAATCTACAGAAACAAGAAAGCCTATTAAAATACGAAGATACTTTTTAGATTGTTTATAATTTGGACATTATAATTCACCGATTCGCCCTCCATTTTTTTTATTATAATGCTCGGGTTCAAACTAAGGTCCCGCACGTTGGAAAGTCCGAAAAACTTCGAGCATGCATTTGCCTAAGCAGGGCCTGCCAGCGAATCGGATAAGAGATCTAGACTTGATCTGCTTGATCCTGGAGCTCCCAAGCAAAGAATAAAAGTAACATTCCTGCCACATCGTGTTACCCTCGGCAGCAGCACTTAGTGCGCTGCAGATTTATTTTCGAGGCTCTCAACTGATGAATTTTCGTTTAACCCATCATGATCACGAAATATACAATTCCCGTTCGTATTTATTTGATAAATTTAGATATTTTTTATAATATGCATGCGTAGCTACGAGAAATTGATTCATATGAGCCGATTAGAGTTTTTCACATACATATATTAGGTAGACCGTAGTCTAAAAATTTTTTACTATTTTTAAACATAATTCAGCAATTATCAGTGTGTCCATTCAGTATCTGAAACGTAACTCATCTGCAAGTATTTCCAATGTCCATTCACTACAAAATACATATTTTCACTTATAAAAGCGGATCACCTTATGCACTAAATTTTCGGAAACTTCAATTATTTAATTATTTAATTACCACGTCTTATTTGATTTGAAATAAATTAAGCAAAAAGCTCGTCTGTATTAAGATATAACTCCGACTTCCTTCTTTCATAACCTTTGCGTGTTTACTTCAGGATTTCGAAAAAACACATATTAGGGAAATTTAAAGTTTGAAATGAGTCTCGGTAGAGGTGTTGATCTTAATTATTTAGGTTGTTTATCATTTCCTGGGCCAATACTTTCAAAAAAATCTAAGAGATCGTAAGTTCATCCGCCAATCATTGACGGCCTTCCAAGCAAAATCCACCAATCATAAAGGAGAAAATAGAGCGTAAGTACTTACGTTCACTTAGCGAGTTTTGAAAGTAAGGCTCCAGAAGTTAGCACCGTCTCTGGGTGGCGCGACGTTGTACGTGCCCCACAAACAGGAAAACAATTCTCGTGGTTTGTGCTAAAAATTGCAAAAAGGAGCAAAATGCAATATATGACATTAGACATATGAAGCGCCTAAAATGTTATGAAGCGCCTAAAATGTTATATGACATTAGACATATGAAGCGCCTAAAATGTTATATGACATAAGACATATGAAGCGCCTAAAATGTTATATGACATTAGACATATGAAGCGCTTAAAAGTTCCTTGAAAAAAGAAGCAAACTTTCCCGAATGAATTTAATAATATAAATATTGTCGACACGAACGATGGCTTTCATGATGCTCAATATAAGCTAGCTCTTTCTTCTGGTATTAGAAACCTCTTCTCTTTTATCTAATTTATGAATAAATCATGGCGCAGCAAGCATCGGTACAAGTTAGTGCGACGTCACACTACATCTGTACTATGGTGGCTAAGCACTGTGGTAGTAGGAATTTTATTGTCACTATTATTTATTTTCTTATAATTTTATTGTTGTCGTGCATAAACTGCATTCTGCTAAACTAAAAAGGTGTTGGAGACTTCTATTGCTTCGACCTTACCTATTCAGAACGAGAAGTGCAATAGTGCAATGTTTCGGGGACAGATAGAGATTTTTAAGTCCTAATACCTCCACAGCATATAAGAGTTGATAATTTTTTATATAGATATATTAAAACAAAACTGTCTTGCGATAATGTCTTCAGCTCTTCATCGCTTCCAAGCCTATTTGAAATGTTCGAGTGCTCTCCTTTTTCTTTATATAATTTTATTCTATCAAATCAGCTATTAAATTCCATTTACTTATTTTGCAGCAGTATTTCAAGTTTCTGAATTGTTGATGAAGAAAGCTTTAAATTGCTAATGGTACAAGCTCTAGTCTTTCTATAAAATAATTTACTCTTCTCTTGAACCTCTAATTAAGTTTCAATTTAATCGATCATAACACATCAACCTTCCGGAATGAAATGCACTGCTGGTTGAGTAGCAATATTGTACTTAAAAAAAAAATATAATTTAGGTTTTGCAGAAGCTTGTTTAATATTTCATTAGAAAAAGTGACTTATATTTTGGTTACGCAATAAATAGGCCATTTGTATTTTAATCTTGAAATTATGGACGCTGGATGCGGCAACACATGGGTATATATTGCTTAATGATAAAATTTAATTAATATTTAATAACGATATGCTTTTGATAACACGTATCCCAATTATATATTCAGTTTACCAATTAAATTATTAATAAAACTGGTATTTCGGTGATTCCATTTGCATGACAGGGTAATAGGAAAACATTAATTAAAACTTCCTCACGTCCAGCAAACTAAATATTCCAAATGATGAAGAATAGATTTACCAGCCACAGGAGAATTTTCCAATTTTTTTAAATCCGCATAATAATTCAGTCTCATGTGCATGTGAGGGCCTGATGGCTAAAAAACTTCAATGAAACGAAGCACATTTTAATCGAATTTCTCAAGTTTGTAAGCCACGGCCGGAAAGTCATCGACAAAAGTTCGCTCGTGGGCCACGAGAATAGAATGCTTGTGATCTTTATTCAAACTTTAATGAGTTTTGAAGGCCTCAGGATATCAAACTAGAAGCGAATGAATTTTTTTAAAGATGTTACTCAGGAGCTTTCATTAATGTGGTAGTCAAGTTTGACATACTTTTTCTCTATTCACATATTTTAACGGTTAGTAATTACCATCAGTAGTAATAATGAAATTTGGTGTACGTTATAAGTAAATATAGATATATATGTAGAATGTAGAGAGTGAAGCCACAACAGACAATATGTGCGGAAGATTTCTTCAGATGTCTCTTGAAGTGTTTATCAAAGCTGCAGAAGTACAATTATCTTTGACTTTTGTGTTGACTTTCACGATAGACATGACATTCTTTGAACTTTAGTATTCTTATCTGACGAAGCAAAATTCTTCAGAATTTAAAAAAAGTTCTGTCGCTACATCGCTCTTTTAATAATGCGTGTGAGTATGAAACAAATGAGATGAAAATTAATCATTTTACCCATCAGACGCTCCATTCACTATTAATTATCGGTAATAATTGAGGTCTTACATTATTTGAATTGATGATCTCAATCTCACTGAATTAGTAAAAGCGATGCTCAGGCAACGTTTGTTTCATTTCGATATTTTCTAGAGAATTTTCCTTTCAATTTTCCGCCAAATTCAGAAGCTCTGGAGCGCTGCTTCTTCCAATGGCGAGAGAATGAGGCTAATTGGATGTAAATGTTCCAAGTGATGGAGGCAATGTTAGGGCGAGCTTTTCACTGCCAGCTGTAATTGGATAGGATTATCGGACTAGATTGTGGATTAGCAGACGCTCGTGCTAATGGGATGTCGGCTTCGCAGAATTAAAACATTCCGGCTAATATAATTTGCTGTTGACGGATGTTCATGAATCCAAATTCTTTTAAATCTGTTACTATTGAACAAATTAAATAAATTAAATTGTGATAAAATTTGTTTTATTTCATTTCAATATCCATCAATTTTTTAATACAGATACAATATTTCTGTTATCAAATTAATTTTCAATATTATTACTCAATAAACATCAATTAATTTAACTAAAACTAGCACCTAAGCAAATGGTATAATTAAACAGGAAATTGACAGCAAACATTTGCATGTCAACAAATATATGTATGCAGCCTCAATGTATCCCCCAAAATCAATGCTAACGCGATTAGTGCGCGTAAAGAACGACGACATCTCTTTTGTGAAGAAAAATAATGGCAAAACGAAGAGAATTCAATTATTTTTATTGCTTCCATGTCGTCCGCTTGTTTTTGTGCTTTCTTCGGGTCAAGTTCTTTGTTTTGCCCTAAAAATATGGATTTATTTGGGAAATTAATAGCTCTTTTATTTCAATTGCAGCGTAATACCTCTTTTTATATCAGTCGTTTATAAAATCATGAGCAAAAATGTTGCTCAATAGAACCTATGAATTTTTGTTGGAAACTTTAAAGTTGGTTGAGTCGATCAAAGATATCTTTTGAGATATCTTGACCATGGCTTTTGATCAATCAATCATTTCAGATCGAAGTAATGCTTGTTATTTAGTTAGGAATCGACTTATGTTAAACTTCATGGGTTTAAAAATGTCTAACATTTTACAATAACTTTTTCTTTCAGATGAAAGTGTGAGGATTTAAATCAAACACAAACTATGGATTGTCTTCAATGAGGAAAAAGTTTGCCTGCCTTAGGCAATTATGCTTTTATTAGCAGTAGTTTTATATGAATTAGAGAGGTTTAATTATAAAGAACTATAATCAAACCTCAGGCCAGCAAATTTGCCATATGCACGAGGAGAGCTTAGCTGCGGAGGAAGTTCTATAGCTTTGCTCCAGCGCTCCTTCAACCAAGAATATTTCATTTTGTTATTCGGTAGTTGTGCATAAGAAATTGAATTAACAATACAAAGAAAATGTGTTGTCAGCAGATCGAAGTGAGATATATAGTACATCAGCTTGATGTTTATGAAATCGATGAGTGATATCAGACGAGTTTATTTGATAACGGATTGCCAATGCAAACAGGAACCGAAGTTTAAATTTCCCCGCTCTCATTATGCTAGTTGAAGAAAGACGTGTTAATTAAGTAAACTATTGAAATGGAGAAATAATTTCAAAGTTTTCGTTTTATCGAAACGTATGAACTGTGAAAGTTCCAGCCTCAACAATGAAAATTGTTTAGTAATAGAACTACTACGAAATTCATTCCAAGAATCGATGCAGATAATTCCAGGATAGTTCTCCAGAAGCCTGATATCAAATCATTCACGCGATTATGAATCAAATTGTGAACCAAAATATCAGTTAACCGATGACAGTGATTATCTGAAGTCACTTGCAGTGTAGCCAACGCTCGTCTGCAACATTCAAAGGATAATACAAAAAACTCTTCCAGGTGAATGACTGTGCTTAATTAATATACTATTTAACGCTTAAAAATATTAATTTTTTAAAATTATATCATTATTTATTTAGCCATATTGTTTTTTTCACTATTTATGGATTGTGGTAACATGATACGTTACTGGGTGAACTTGTTGCGATGTTTAAAATTGGGTTCAATATTTCTCACTGTATATTCTCATCATAATAATAAATTATATAAATTAATAAATTAACTGTTTAAATAGTAGTCACAACAACAAACAAATGACGCAATAATGGCGAGCTAAAATAAGGAAGTGCATAAGGAGGGATTTTTTTCTATAAATATTTAGAGAAACTATTTTCACGCATACCTAGCGTTTATAGCTTGGAGCAATCAACTTCATGTTCTATTTCTATTATTAAGAGATTACGCAACTGAAGGAATAAGTTGGTGTACTGCAGCTCAGCTCAATGAGAACGAGTAACTCCGTCCTAACTCTGCTTGACATATTGTTGTTATTCCTGTATATTTAACTGAAATCAAAAGCTCGTAAATCAAATATCACGTCCCTGCTTCTTGTTTCTACAGGACTTACGACATCGTAAGTTTATATAATAATAAGGTGGCTACTCAATAAATATTTTATCAGCAACTGGTCCTCGATATCGCTTATCAAATCGCTACCTCATACATGTAGATTTAATTTATCAAAACAGCATATTTAAAAAATGTAACAATAATTGTGAGTAACATTCCGTGCATATTTTAATAATTCCATTGAAAAATACAATGATGTTTATCATTTTCATATCATTTTATCGTGTCCTGGGCCAGCGATGATGCAAAATACTTTGATTCCACTGAATACTTCAATGATATTCATCATTTTTATTTCATTTTAGCGTGTCCTAGGCTGATTTAGGGGTAAAATACTCTGATTCCACTGAATAATTTAATGATTTTCATCATTTTCGTATCATTTAACGTATCCTAGGAGGGCGATGAGGCAAAATACTCTGATTCCACTGGATACTTTAATGACATTCATAATTTCCGTGTCATTTTAGCGTCTCCTTGTACAGCAGTGAGGTAAAATATCCAGATTCCACTCAATACTTTAATGATATTCATAATTTTCTTATCATCTTAGCGTACCTGCAATGGGGCAGTCTGGCAGCAAGTGTCTGTGCTCGGACGCAGCCAGCGACGGGGCGTCCGGCAGCAGCGCTCAGAGCTTCGTCGCGTCAGCTAAGTCTGAGCTCAGGAAATTCCCCTTCACTCCGAGCCGCTCCAAGACCTCAGGCTCTCACATGGGCAAGGCTGAGCTCAGTGAGTCAATCTATTATTAAAATAATCACGTTATAATTTAATGATACGACCGTGCAATCATCCAATCATGTGACGATTAAATAATGCGAACGTCCAATGTTTGTCGCGTTATCATTAAATATTATGACCATCTAATCATCCAATAAAAAGACTTAAGAATAGTCAAATCATCAAATCCTTTAATAATTTACCATCAAGGTTACTAAATACAAACTTATTAAAAGTGGGATTAACATTTTCATACCGCACCCTCGATTAAACATGAAACACTGTAAGAAAAATCACCGTTAAACAGTATTACCAGGGTTTCAGTGGCCGGTCGACACGTGAAACACCGTGTTGCCGTTTTTATTCTAATTTAACATAAGAAATCCGTAAAGTATCTAATAAAACAGCAAAACTGTTTATTTTTATTAGGCGGCCGGCAACTAGAACGCTAAAGAGACCGTTTTTTCACCGTTTTTTTTTCGAAAAGTATATGAACACCTAAATTTTCGGGAACTCCATGTAATGAGACAGATTAATGTTGATATAATAAATACTATACTGATATAATGTATACTGATATATTGATATATTACTTGACATTCAGGTAATCCTAACTTACCCAGTAGCTGCATTAGCGAGAGCGTGGGCTTTAAAAATTCAAAAAGCATTTAAAACCCCTTCAGAACTTTTGAAGAATCAGCCTCTTAACAAAAGAAGTATAATTTATTCAATATCAAGTTTTTATTGAACACAAGTGACAATGATAAGTAGATTTGAAGAATAATGCACGCTCAGTATCATCCGTCTTATAACAATGAAAGCTCAGTATCATAGAAGTATAATAATGAAAGCTCAGTATCATAGAAGTATAATAATGAAAGAACAGTATCATCGGTCGTTTAACAATTAAAGCTCAGTATCATAGAAGTATAATAATGAAAGATCAGTATCATCGGTCGTTTAACAATTAAAGCTCAGTATAATAGAAGTATAATAATGAAAGCTCAGTATCATCTGTCGTATAATAATGAAAGCTCAGTATCATCTGTCGTATAATAATGAAAGCTCAGTATCAGCCGTCGTATAATACTGAAAGCTCAGTATCATCAGTCGTATAATAATAAAAGCTCAGTATCATCTGTCGTATAATAATGAAAGCTCAGTATCATCTGTCGTATAATAATGAAAGCTCAGTATCATCTGTCATAAATTCTTCATTACTGACTATAGTTTTTAAATGTAGATTCAGCCAGTCTTTCAACTTATTTTGAAACTATTTTTCACTCTTCGCTTCGAAGTAAAAAAATTAACCAAAAACTATTATAAATAAATAATTTAATATCGTCAACTATTCATCAATCAAGTAAGAAATAAAATCAATCAAAAACAACTACAAATGCTTTATTTTTATCCAATACACCATCAGGACCCGTCGAACGAACAATATAGACAATGCGGGTAATGCAAAAGAAATTGAAATACTTTAATTTTATATCACTAAAATAACTTTTTAATGGTGCACTTTTATAAGCCTTATTATTGAAACCTACTGATTACCATCTGACAATACACAATTTTGGTAAGCGATATTATGAACATATATTAAAATTAAAGTGAAAGTCTTTAGCTGCAATTGTTTGAAAAAGATTAGGACTTTATCTCCCATTATATAATTGGTATCCAATTATAATTGGATATATAATCCAATTGGATATAATCCAATTATAATTGGTATCCAATTCACGAACCAAGAAATTTGCCAAGTCTTGGCAATCGATCGTCACAAACATTTGAATAATCTTAGTGCGCACGATTGTCAGTGTCAGTGTACTAGTGAATAATATATTAAATATCAGGAATATTAAAAATATCAGCGATATTAATTATTGATATTATTAATTAATATTAATTATTAATTGCTGATTAATTATCAGGAATATTAAAAATATCAATATTATTTATTGAGTCTAGAATCTTTTGGCGGGCCTAACTTACAAAATTGAGAATAAAGAACAATGAAGAATAATAGTTTCAGAGGTCGAAAGCAAAATAGCAGGCAGAGAAGCTTAAAAGCTTTTAATTTCGTTGAAATATTGTAATGGATGCAGTCGCGTGAAATTCTTTAACGAAAGTAACACATTGATTCTCCTAGGAGCACATCTCATATAAAAAAATGATCCCTTGACACCCTCAGGATTCTGTAAAGTGACATTATTATGTAATATTAATGTAATATTAATTATGTAATTGTCTGACCATTACATGACAATTTCCCACGAGGCTCTGCAAAAAGGATCATTCATTCCTGGCTCCTCCACAAAAGTTTATATGAACCGTAAAACTAAATTTTAAATTTCTATCACACGTGATCATTCAAGGAGAAATTTTGCGAATGAGTTTTTTTACAGAAGGTTTCTCCTTCATGTGATTCGCCTCGCCCTGGGGAAACCTAAGAAAATGATGGGAAAATAATTTTCTTTTGAGGTGCTTTGCGCCTTCATGAGCCTCAAATGAAATTTGATATTTTATGTATGACTGTCGTGATATACTTTAAGCCAAGTAACGGTCTTTTAGATAACTCCAACGCACGATTGCGCTGCAATATGCTAGACTCGAATGAGGTAGAAATCATTCATATCTTGAAATATGTTACGAAAATTTTCCTGTACCACAAATTTTCATCTTAAAACTAACCATCACCGCGAAGATTAAAATAAATCCAATGTATACTTGTATTGAATTTAATCTGTTATGGAATAATCAATTATAGGATTGAAGTTAAGAATTGGGGAAATAATTGTTTAGATCAATCGTAAAGTCGTTGAACTGAACTTTTTTTGAAGAAAAAGCATACGTAAATGTACAAATAACAAATTAACACAGAGATGAATATTGCGATCGATAGGCCGTAGGTTTAGGCAAATTTCAAACGCTGTTATCCAAAAAATATTATGAATGTTATCAGATTGAAAAATTCTCAATATTTTTATAAATTTTCTACTTAATTATTCACAAAATATTTCAACAGAATTTTATAATTTTGCGTTCTAAGATGTGCGTTCTCGCTTATGTGTATAAATAAAATAAGTTAAGCTTCCCGAACCACAAAATTTTCCTGCTTAAATTTTTCTAGCCTTTGAACAAATTCTAAATTAATAGATAAACAGCTGATGAGTTGATTCTTTTCCGTAAAAACACTGCACGTAAATTTTGTTAATTTAAAATATTGCATCCCTCTTGCCGAGGTAACATGTTCATTTCTTTATGGTTTAAATTCACTACCATGCAATATAAAAGGCTCAAATGATTGTTTGAATCTTACAACAGCAGAAGAAGATGTTCAACTTTATGTTACATTTTTTACACAATAGCCACTATTTTTACGAAAAGTTTTGATAAATAGGCACAGAAATTTTCCCATCCGTTAATGAAAATTATTCAACCCAGATTTGTTTCAAGAAATAATATTAATAAGTCATATTACTTGATAAGGTTAACCACATTTTTTCTAACATGCAGGCTGGCGTAACTCAGTAATGCCGGCGTCCCTTGACCGAAGGCAAGGTATGATCGGAACAAACTCTTGCGTTCAAGCTTTGAAATATCGAGTAAATGATTAGTAGCCTTCATATCCATGTTCAATAAAATTAACAATGCAGCGGAGCCGATATTCCAATATTGATCTAATCGCGTACTGATGACAATTATTATGTTCAAAGTTACTTTAAACAAGGCATCAAAATAGGAAGACTCTTTCCTTTTTGATGTCGTCGATTAATTTTTAAATTTTTAATGTTTCCAATGCCACAGAATTTTACATTAATTGCTGGCTTATCATAAAACTCACAGGTGCCTCGCTTTAATATAGAATTATGTAAAGAGGCAATATTGCTCAAGCAGAGAACATTGAAATAGCTTCAAATTAATTGTCTATCCAGTGACTTGCGAGGGAAAATAGCTGAACTTTTTCAATAATGCCAGACAATTTAATAGATATGAAGGCAGACTTTTTCTAGATAAGCAATTTATCCTCTTGCTGAAATATCCTGACAGAAATAAATCATTTTCATAAACGTTGTTTCATATCTTGAACGCGAAGAAACAAATTTGTCCACGTTTGGTTGTGGTGTCAATCTTCACTAATGTTGTTAAAACACATCGCACAGCGGGAGTTATTAATGTCATCACATGAAACGTACGAAGTTTGCTGACATGATAAGACGATACCATTTTAATAAATAATAAAATATTTGCAAACGAGTCTCGTTAGAGACAGTGACTGCTAATGGTGTTTGCGTGTTCGCATAATGTTACTAGATATTTCGCCAGAAAATCTGCAATTATGCAATACTAAAATACTAAAATGTAATGTATTTTCTGGAAAGCACAGTTTTTGATATTGCGTTAATTTTTCGTTTAAATTCTAAATTTTATGCGGAGATTTATAATTGTATATCAAGGCCACCACCGCACCAAAGAATACATTTAAGCTAAATTGTATTAATCACAGCTTTTTGTGTTAATTGTGTGGATTTCTCTAAGCACCGCTTCGTAATGACTTTACTTATGAACATGGACAAGATCTCACGATTCGATTGAAATTTTTTCTTTTTTTTCTTGCTCCAGGTTGATTTCGGGTTTAATCACTTTCGTCAGTAGTTAACCTCACTCCTGATTGCTGTTGGGAAAAATCATTCTCTGTACTTATTTTGTCATGTCTCCGGAAATATTTCTGGGAAAATATTACTTATCCCTAGGATGATCCTGCCTACAGTTCAATGTTACTTTCCTTAAGATACAAGAAATAGGATGCTTTCAGAGTGTCAATCCAATATAGTCTCTACTACTTCCCTGATTCAATATCATACAATCTCTCTGTTCATAATTTTGTTCTATATTTCCTTATATTGTTTATCCAAAAATTTCACTCTGTTTATTCAGCCATGGCCACATATGATTAAATTCTTGCTCCATCATTACGATGATCTCACGTTTAATATCATTATTATTCCTTATTGTCATTGGAGTTCTTCCTCTAGTATTGCGAAGTCATCAAATATTTCAATTTTGGTCAGTTAATTTGATAGTATTGTTCAGGCAGCAAAATATCTTTTTGCATCTGCTTCCTTTTCATTTCTTGCGCAGACATACGAGTAGAATATAAACTTTTTAGCTATTTCGGTTTCTCTACTGTTTCGACGACATCGAATAAATAATTTTTATCTGTTTTCTTTGCATTGCATTATCTGTTTTCTTTGCTGTGGTGAAGACATCAAATATATAACTTTTTCTATGTTCCGGTCTGTAGAGTAGCGAAGGCATCGTATGTTTCAGTCTTCTCCTCTCATTTAAGCTTTTCCTCCTTATAAGCCATGCAGGCGGTGGAGAGAACACCTGTCATATTGTTGCACCTGCTCCACACGTCCAGCAGCGTTCGCTCTAATGATATAATTACAGTGAAACTTAATTAGGAGGCGGAGCAAAGACAGTGATGATGAATGAACTGGAGTGAAGATGGTTCCAGAGTCTCGATCATTCATTTTACATCATAAATTAGAGGGAAATAGCATTAATCGTGTTTCTGATTCCCTTGTATTTATTAGAAAATTTTCAGATAGCCAGATAAATTTTCAGATAGAATTTTCAGATAGATCCATTTGAAGCCGTTTGCTATATATTGCTCAAACAGGCAAATAGCAATCAAAACAAGAAATTCAGCAACCTCTACTATCTTTTATATTCAATTCAACAGCGAAGTTTTTTTGAACGGTTTTAATGTAATGTGTCTCTTTACGGCAAATAAAAACGAACTTATTACATTAACAAATATTAGCGGACTTTTAACAAAAAACAAATAAAAATAGGCTGCTTACACTGCGAAAAGCCCCAATAAAAACGGGCTTTTAACATTGATGAACTGCGCATAAGGCACACACATTTTTATGTTTAATTTTACTTTTAAAAGACAGGAACGATCGTTAACGAATTCCGCTAAGTAATTTAAGCCATTTTACACCGCAAAAAATATCCTAGAGCAGAAATTTTACAACATAGATTTTCAACGCTCTGTAAAATTCTGTCGCACTTAATTTCAGAAGTCCACTACCATAAACGGGAAAATTTTTCGACCTTCTTTACATCAAGAACGGAAACCGTTTTTCCATTATAGCTCCGGAAGCTCCTTTCCGATAAGACTTTTAGACAATGTAATGCACTCAACGTACGAGCCCTTCGCTCTGCAAAGAAAGCCGCAACTCGGTGCTTCAAAGAAAAATAAAACCACTCTGCGATCAAAAACGCTATCCCGAGCAGCCTTTCAAACTTCTGTGGACCCACTTTGTATTGGAGTTCAACCAATAATGTTCGCACATAAGTCACCCGACTAGTAAATTCAACAGCTGGTGACGCCGTAAGAAAATCATTTGAAAAATCGATCGACTAGTATCAGCATCAGTGGCATCGCAATGCAACAAATTGAAGAAATATAGAAATACATCAACGACGGTCTGATGGTGAATGACATTCACGCTGTCATGGGAGAATTCTAATGCATTTAGCTATCGCTGACCTCTATATATGCGTTATTCGAAAGAAATTAACGTATTTTTTCGTAAGCGATTAACGTATTTTTTCGCTGAACTATTCAGTACTATTTTCGCGGTTAAGTACTGAACAAAAATGTTCAGTACTTAACCCAATGAATGGAACTTTCCTATGACAACTCCCCTCATAAAAAGATGTCAATTTTACTGAATGGAAAACTAAAGGATCTAAATACCAATGTATGCATTAAAACGCTCTCTTTTTTTCGTGAAAAAATTTTGATGACTCAAAGCTCAGATGGCTAAATTTTCTTCTTTTGCAAAACTGGTCCAATTTTTCTTAATTTTTTACGCACCCTTAATTGTTTTTTTTTCTCCCTCTGCCGATTGGTTTAATTTTTCCTGTCAACTGCAAAATCTTCATTTATATTGTTTTATTGAAAAGGCTTCTTCTTCTTCATTTATCATTGTTATTATTATTTATAAGATTATTTTTATTTTTCCAGTATATTTGACAGTTCTTTTTGGTGCTTGATAAACCTTCTTTCGAAGCTTATTCAAAGCTTACAAAAAATTCAAAACTAGAAACCTGGGATCGATCTGTAAAACTTGTCTTGATGGGGAAAGCATGGATAAAATTTCGCGCGGAAAATTATGGTGAAACACAAGCGAAAAATCTTCAGAGTTGCAAAATTTTTTATAATTAGAAATTGCGGAAGCTACGAAAAATGCCCAACGTCCTAAGCTGCATACGCGTCAGCCTTTAACTTGATACCACAAACGGTGCTAGTGACGCCACAAACGGTGCTAGTGACGCCACAAACGGTTTGACGCCACAAGAGGTGTAAGTGACGCCACAAACGGTGCTAGTGAAGCCACAAGCTGTACTAATGACGCCACAAACGGTGCTAGTGACGCCACAAACGGTGCTAGTGAAGCCACAAGCGGTACTAATGACGCCACAAATGGTGCTAGTGACGCCACAAACGGTGCTAGTGACGTCCCTGGTGTTTTGGGAATTTTGAGGATCAATAGAGTGGAATATGCAGAATTAAAATGACGTTCATCATGGAAAAGTGCCCTATTTATGAATTTGAAATCTAAAATTTGTACATATAGTCATATTTTAAAAATTTCGACTGCCTATATAGTAGATTAGGAATATTGTTTTGAATCAAAGGAATATTGTTTTCATCAAACCTAACCCGAAATATTACACCCAACGAATTATTAATTAAAGCGATGAAAACGGCATTATCCACATAAATCTGAATGGTTTTGTATCGCAATGAAGTAAAACTTCAGATCAGATTGGAACCAAACTAATTCTTATCGTTTCGATTCTTGCTACGCAAATAATTAAAACTCAACTACTTCAAACGGCACATATCATCAACAAACTTAATCTCGTATTCATTAATTCATATCTTCTTGTTTTTTTCTTGCACGAGATTAAATAAGAAATTTTCAAATAAAAATAAAAGTTATTTTAACGTGTTTGGCAGATCACTCCGTACAAACTGCGATGTTATTTATTTCAGTTTTCATTTCAACGAGGTTTTCGCTTGAGTGCCACAACGGAATTCCAATTTAAGTCATCCTCCCATCAGCTGCAGGGGCTCTATGTCAAAAGAGTCTTGGCAAAGTGCAGGAACATTTACGAATATTTGCTGGAGGCTCGACGACTTGGCTGGCTCAGTTCCAATCGTTAAAGAAGAACGACCGTCGTGAGGGGAAATTCTGCGTGTGCGCGGCGAGACACGACCACACGACCTGTCGGGATGCGCGGTGCAATTGCAGGGGTTATGATGCACTGCCTGTGTTGCACCGCTGGTCCAGTAGCGCGGTGCAGTCACGAGGGTTGCACGGTCCCGGTGTTTCATGCTGCCTTGTTGAGGGTTGAGTTGCATTTCTGTGTTGCTCAGGTCAATTTTGGTGATCACGTAACGGCAATAACCGCAAGAGGTAGGCGACAGATGGGGTGGATCTGGCGGACGTTCAAAACAAGAGAAGCGGAACCGA